AATCACCTGAGTGCTACATAAGTATGCATCAATGTTCAACAAGCACTCAGATGATTGAGGCAGGAACTTGGATCTCACTGATTCCTGTCTGAGGCTTGGTTTATCTCGCTCTCCACATAAGATATAAGCAGACTGCAAGCACTGCCATCTGCAGAACCCTCATACATCCACATTGGGGATCAGAAATGGTAGCCCGGCTTGCCTCAAAAGAATGGTACAGCACACATAAAGGCTCAATTTTGCCTGAAACAAACTGAAGTCCATGCAAACAAAAAAAAGAAAACCAAAAGAAATGATACGATGTCTGGGATATGCTTCAAAATAATTCACTGTGAGGAGTGGGGCAGACATGAAGCAAGACTGGGCCATGACTCATAGTTGTTGATACTCTGGGATGGATACAAGGAGGCTCATTAAAATATTTCCTCTACTTTTCTATGTTTCAAATTGTCCTGTAACAAAGAGTTGTGGAGAAAAACAGATAAAAGGAACCCCAGAGTAAAACAGAGAGAAATGCTCTTTGTTTCAAGGAGAGGGTTTTGTGTCTATTAGGTAGTGCCTTTCACATAGAGTACTTTACACAAACACCTATTAGCTTTCCATTAACTGTAACCATTTTCCCCCTAGAAAATTTTTTTTAAAAAGTGATATTGTTGTGTTGACTCAGTCTATGTTGACTGAGGCTACCCACCAGTCTAGTTTGCCTTTTTTTTTAAACCCAGTTGCCTGTAGGTGCCAACCAACCAACCACTTTTCCATTTTGCCCCAGGCTCAATGTCCCCGTTATTATGACAGGGAAATCACCTGTCATCAAGTGTGGATGTCATGCTGGGTTGCCATCCTACTTCCTTTCCTAAATATCAGAGATAAGGGAGGTGGTGTCCTTTCTGCACTCTTTCTGGAAAGTGTAAACAGAGCACTAAACTCGAGACAGAGCTACAGGAAGTGCTGAAAGCCTCTGGCCTCCCCTGGGGCCATAAAGCACCCCCCTACACCTACACACACACACACACACACACACACACACACACACACACCCACACACACACAATAGGTACCTTCTTTTTCTAGAGTCACAACACAATGGAAAGTTGTTATTTAAATCGTTCACCCTACAGTGACTCAAATTCAATCTTCCTAGTAACCCAATTCATTTGTTCTGGGGGCATATTTATTGAGCACAGAGGTGGGTGTTCAGGAGCTGAATAAGCCTTGATCAACAACGCCCCCACCCTCAGGGAATTTATTATCTAAAGAAGGAGACATCAAATAATGCAAACTTTTAAACAGTGACAAGTAGAGTGGAGGGAGAAAAAGTACAGGGTACTTTGATATCATGCAACAGGTGGGCTTAAAGAAGTTAAAAACAGCTTCTGAAAGAAAATGTTGTTTTTCCAATTCCATTGTTTACTTCCATAATGGCATTATTGTTTATAAAAATTTGCTGTAGAATTAAGGAATTTATTGTTTTCATTTTTTAAGGCTCTATGTTTAGGCACTAAAATAGAAAGCTTAATCAATTATTCATACCAATTAATTCCACCCAAATATAATTTTGGCCAGGTGTAACTGCTCACACCTGTAATCCCAGCACTTTGCGAGACTGAGGCCAGGAGTTTGAGCCCAGGAGTTCAAGACCAGCCTAGGCAATATAGTGAGACCCTGTCTCTACAAATAAATGAAAAAACTAGCTGGGTGTAGTAACACACGCCTGTAGTCCCAGCTACTGAGGAAGCTAAGGCAGAAGGATCTTCTGAAACCAGGAGGTAGAAGCTGCAGTGAGCTGTGATCATTCTACTGCACTGCAGCTTGGTACTGCACTGCAGAATGAGACCCTGACTAAAAAAATAAATAAATAAACATAATTTTGTTAAATCTCATAAATTAAGAATTTGTAAAATCTGTGAAAGTCCAGAACTTCACATGCCATCTTGGGAAAAAAAACGCAATTTGTCTTTTGAGTCATTTCCAAAAAGTCAAAATGTATTATTAATTTCTTCTCACTAAAATCAATTGTGCTAACAATATTATAAATTATAGAACAAAAACAAGAGGGCAATAAAAATATAAGAAAGCGAATGAAAACAGGCTGACCTCTGAAAGATAACTGAAATTTTATCTTAATATTTGCCTACCTGTGCTAAAAGGAAGAAGAATGATATATTAGCTGAGCCACAAATTATCTCTCTTCCATCTAAATCAATAGTTCCAACCTTCTTTCACAGCATTAACCCCTAGATAGTCTTGCCACAAAGGAAATGGCTAAAGTAAATAACAAGAGGAAAACAAGAGAAAAGAGAAACAACAGGGAGTCTAGCTTAGCAGTTTTGAACTTTAGGGGTAGGGAGATGTAAAGGATCTTTTGAGAATACAAGAGAAACTGTGGGCACTTACCCTAGAAAATGAACCCCCATATTATTTTGCATACAATTTCAGGGGAACTATGTATGACCCCCTGAAACCCAATCAAAAATCACAGGCTAAAAAATCCCATACCTAGAATCAAATTAGGAAATCAGGCCTAAGATTATCAGCAGCTAAAAGATCTAAAAGGAATTAGTGGGTACTCAAACATTTTACATATGTTATCTAACTTAATTTCAACCTCTACAATCACCTTGGAAAGCAGGTAGTATCATCATCTTATTTTCCAAAGAGGGAAAGTATGTTCAGAGAGATGAAATAACTAATGCAAGGTTGAGCAACTTTCTCTCTCACCCAAGTTTTCTAACCCCTAGGTCTAAAATTCCAGATTTGAGAATTCAAGAAGTGAAGTACATATTCCTAGAGACCTTTCAAGATAAAAAGTTTCTGACTTTCAGCACTTCATTCATATGATCAATATATCTACATATTTCTTCTCAATGTAATCTTGTTGATAGGAATCAGTACAAATTTAACTCCAAAACATCTTTCTTGATAGCAGATAATCTCAACCAGAGACAATGAATAATAATGGCCTAGTAATATTAAATATATTTTCATTTCTGAAGCAGCCTGAAATGGGCTGTTTGTTAGGAGAATATAAAGGTCCACTAAGTGAATGCTGAAAGTCCTCAAGCTTGAATTTTTAAAACTACCCCAGAAAGCCCACAAAGTCTAAACAAATGAAAAATTGACTGAATTTAAAACTTTAGTCTCTATTCAGGTATCAGTCGCAGTTGGCCTGGCAGTTATAGCATCTTCTACATGGTTAAGGCAGCTTTAAAAAAGAAAAAACTGGGACCTCTAATAAACACTAATAATATGATAGGTCAGAAGCACACATAGACAGATCTATGACCCCTTTGTGTCTCAAGTAGGTAGTTAAACAGTCTTAGATAGATCCTCATGGAAAATTTGCTGATGAGTATATCCCACCAGAAAAGAATAAATACAGCAAAAACTAGGTCCAGTTCAGTAAATTTGGTTGGGTCTCCATCCAGACCAACTCACCCTGTGAAACATTAAGACACTAATTCATCCTTTACAGCAGAATTACCAATAATTAGCATCCTGCTTTCACAAAGATTTAGAAACCTTTTATGGGAAATGTATCCATACCCAGAGAAGGAAAACTAAGAATAAGAGTGGGTCAGGTCCTCTCTCTAAAGCTCCACTCCAACTGCTCATATGAGAGTTGCCACCTAGTGATTTTAATTTTTTTAAATCTAGGCAATCTGCCAATTCAACAATAAAACCGGACTAACAACTGATTTTTCCTATTGCAACATGGCCAGCAAGTCCTGTGCTTTCCCTCTCTTTCCTCTGCCTTCAAACAGCATTCTCATTTTTAAAATCAACTAATTTGCTCTATAATCTGTTCCAGTTAGAAGCTCTCATAGAGCTGCCACTGGTATTACTCTTCCTCCTAGTGCCAAGAGGCCAACAAATGACCAATTCAAAAAACCAAAACAGCACAGTGAAGAAAAGACAGGTGTGAAAAACAAGATATAAATGTAGAGAAAGTAACAAAAGGTCAACTCTGGACTTTAAAATGTTTCAGCTGCCAAAGTTCTACCTATTCTTGGGATCTGGACAAAAACTCTATCAGAGTAAATGGTTACATGTAAGAAATAAAGCTGCAATGAGGAATATAAACTCAGTGTTTTGGGTACCTAAATTCGCTCAAAGTCTTACTGTTACTACCAAAGAATGACTTGAAACTGTACCTGAAGTTCACTGGACTTGAGAAGTCCTTTCTGACCAGTGTGCCCAGGCCTGAGGCAGCAAAGGCTGACTATTCAAAGAAAAAGAAAATCTCAAGGAAAAGTCTGATATTTTCAAGATACCTGACTTGACTTTCATGTGGAGGCACAACTTTAGCTAAAGGTATTTCCCTAGAGTATCCTTTAACCTAACAGTTTTAAACTAACCAACAATTACACTCTGATTTCACTAGTTATGGGCCGTAAAGGCTAGTTTCATCATATAAAATTCTGGCTTTTTTTTTCTCCCCCCGATGTTGGCAGCTCACAAGAAATCTGGCCAATTGTACATCTAGATTGTGACAATCCTTTGTAATATCCTCAACTTGTACCTTAAACCCCACAGAAATAAGGCTGCACAGGTAAAGCATCAACCTTCAGTTCAAAATTCATTTTGATTGCCAACAGAAAATTTAGGGTGGAAAGGCTTCCTTTCCATCATCCCATAAGCATTCGTGGAAATGTTTTCAAAGCTGAAAATTTCTTCTTCCACTGGTGTTTCTCCGTAAGGGGGTCAGACCTGAAGGGATCTAGGTTAAACTCCCCGCCAGCGCCCACCGCTCATCACCAAGAAAGCTGCTCATGCTGCACCTTGCCTGGTTTCTACTGAAGGGTCCGGAATGCTTCCCATTACCGCGAGACCCCGAAACCAGATTTTCCAAACGCTCTGCCCTCCTCAGTCCCTCCTCTCCTCAGGCAGCATCCTCGCGTGGAGGGGGGAAGTGGGTAAGGTGGGCTTAAGTTCCCAGCCCTGGTGAAGTATCAAGCCTTCCCAGGGGGTTGCACAAACTCCATCAGGGGGGCTGAACTCACCTTCCCGACAGAGCCCCGTGACTTCGCGGTTTTTCCCAAACTCCTTGAAACTTTCGTCCAATTCCGTCCCTAGGAGATATACACACACAGGAGGAGGGGAGAGGCAGGTCAGTGGCCCGGAGTGTGACGCACGCTCACGCCCGCACGGGGTAGGTGTGGGCACCTCCACGTTCCGCAACCCGGCGAACGATAACGTCTCTGACCCCCGAGGGGGTGGGTCACAGCATGGGGGAAAAGGGAGAGGGGAGAATGCGGGTAGGAGGAAGGGGGAGGTGGGGGCGTAGGGAAGAGGAGGGCGTGGACACTCACCGTCCTTCCCAGGAAGTTTGGAAGCCTCGACCCACAGATTCCACGACTGTCCCAGCATCGCTTCGGGACTGGGCAGGGGCCTGCGCTCCCCGACCGTCGCCATTGCGGCGGCCGAGGTGGAGGCGGCGCTGGAGCCGCCGTCCTCCGGCCGTAGGCGCCGCGGCGGCGGCGGCGGCGGCTGCT